TAGACATAGATAGTACATGGGAATGGGTCACAAAGATTAAAGGAATCAAACCCATATCAGTATGAGAAACTATCAGAAAATATAAATAAATAAATAAATCATACAGTGATGTATCCATTAATAAATACAGCATGATGCAGATAGTGAATAATAAAAGAAATCAGCATCTGAAGCAATTAATGATTTCCATACTTAAAAATGTAGTAAAAACATTACTATCAAAATGAGAATGGTGTTATAGCATTTTCACTGTGCTTAACACTAGATAAAGTACAAGTAATGCAAACATAAGATGACAAAGAATAGAAATGCAAACAAAATGAAACAGTTCATACCAGTAGACATACAAACACACAACAACAGTTTAGGGTCAAAAGGTTATATGGGCAAGAACCTTCACAGTATTTACAAAACTTAGAAGTCTGTCACACTACTTTTACTTGTAATGATACAATAAATTATCTAAAATTTAAAGAATGTGACTGACTTATATGGAGCTGAGAGAGGCTGAAAAATATGATAACAACTAACTAATTTTCAGATAATACACATGCCTGGTAATACTATTAGCAATAACAGTTAATCTAAATTTGATGTTAAGGTTTTCCACAGTATGAAATGGAAGACAAAGAAAATAAATTCCAAATATTCAGAAATTACACAAATAATGGGGTTGAATGACTTGGATAATTAAGAAAACAAACAACTAGCTGTTAAGTGAAAAAAAATATCCAAAGTACTGAATTTTATTTTACAATTAATAAGGTAACAGAATTATAAATATAGTTAAATGTACAAATCTATAGGTGATGCACAAGTGTGTTCCAAACTGAAAGAACTGAGTAATCAAGCAGAGGATCTCAGAGACTTGAAATAATCCTGAACTATGTTTATAATTAACTGGTGGGTATTTTCATTGGATTTGCAGACCTTATAAAGAGTCAAACTAAAAGCATCCTGATGGTACCAAAACTATGAACTGATAATGTGAATGAAGATTGAAGGTACCACAGCCACAGAAAGCACATGTACACAAAACCACTCAAGATGCACCTGCTGTTTGGTTACATATAGAAAATTTCCAAACAATGCAAAAATATTTATAATTATTCTCATACTTTCAACTTGCAAAGTAGTTCTCCTCAATAATGTGTAGGATTTGATAGAAATTTCATTCATTTATTATCTCAAATATGCTATACTACTACTAATCAAATGATAACTATAATAAGCTTTTATGCTTACTCAGATAGAAGTGAACAATACCCATTTGTAATACGTACTTCTGTGATCCACACAACTGCCAAGAATTTCTTACAAAGTGAATAGGAAAAAGTATATATAATTACAAAATAACAGAACCAAGATATGTATGAACAATATGAACCAAGGTAGAAATTCAAGAACATGAGCATATGGTGAATTTTTGGATATACAGATAAAAATATTATGAATACGTTATCAGTTTGTAATCCCTTCATTTAAAACATATAACAATGAAGTATTAAAGTGAAATGACAAAATGCACATTATGTATTTCTAAGATTGGATGTTGTGTTGAAATTATGTGAAGCCAAAATATAAATTAGGCCAGGAAAATCCTACCACACAAGTACAGTTTATAGACATGTATAAAGAACACAGTATGAAAATGGTCCCATACTGTAATAAGACATAATATTTTCTTATTGAACTAGCTCCTTTTTACAACAGAGAAGTATGCCCACTAATTCTGAAACTGTTTTGTGAACTTCATTTTACATTAATGTTTTAAAGATAGTATTAGTGAGGTACTAAAAGCGTATGATGTAGTTATACCAGGATTAAACTTGAAATATTGTAAAGCATTAACATTGGCTAAGAGCAAAATAAATGGGTCCTCTGAAGTATAAAGAAAGGTATAAAGTACTTGATGATAAAGAATTAGAAAAGAAGTGAAAAAAATCAGTATTTCTGGTTTGATAAAATCTAATTTTGACAGTATAAATATAAGTTCAACAACTTTCCAGCAGAGTGTGATCACAGTGAATGTCTGATTTATTATGTTGAAGAGTCATCTTGTTGTAATGTGAGAAATATTAAATTGAGAATTAAAAGTTTCAACAGGGGATTTTCACCACATTCATATATGTAATCCAAAAATTGTTTTTATTTAAGCTAACTTTCATGTTCAATTTAAGAATTTTCATTTGAGTTTGATAAATGGTTTAGAGTATGGTAACACATTTTTATATTAATAAGAGATTGTGAAATCAGCTTGTTACAAAAATTGATGTAATTACAAAGGACAACACTAGATTTATTTATTAAGTTAAAGTATTTTAAGTTATTAGTGGTGAGTATAGGATTATACATCAAACCTTACAAGTTACTCAATATAAATGACGATGCTCTCAAATGGATCCCAGAGTTAATTAAACTTTAAGCAAGAGAAAGAAGCTACTAGCACTATAGTCTCCTTCTCCCATCAAACTTCAGATCATTTTTACGTTCATATTATATATATATTTATGATTATCTTTTATATTAGGAAAATATTGTTGTACCAAGAGATGATAGCATTAAAATATTGTTGTACCAAGAGATGATAGCATTAAAATATTGTTGTACAAAGAGATGATAGCATTAAAATATTGTTGTACCAAGAGATGATAGCATTAAAATATTGTTGTACCAAGAGATGACTGAAATGCAGTGATTTAAATACCTCTTTAACTCAATATTCTTCTATTTTATATGTAATTAAAAGATGTCATACTTATTTTGTATTATTATCTTCTGCATTTCTTATTACCACTATAAATTCCCGTGGCTGGAGTACATCAGGACTATAATGCTAATTTTACATTATACTTTGGCCATGGTTGTACACATTTTATCCATTTCTTCAAATTTCACCTAATCATTCATTTTATTCTTTTATACCACTCTTTAGAACTTAGTTGTAGGTGCAATCACACGACACTCTGTGAATGGCATGCAGAAACAAAGAAACATAACTTCAGACATCTGCAAATATATGGACACTCACAATATATTCATGCAATTCTTTAAAAAAAGTAATACAACAATTCCCAGATTATTATTTAGTGTTACAAGTAGGATCCAATTTATTTCACATTTGTTAGTTGATATTTTGTCCTACATGAAAAAATTCTAATTAGTTAAGGCACACTTCTGAGATAATCTAAAAATACATCTAGGACAAACTAGTCATCATTTGCAACATGATAGTTAATTTTACATGGTCCTGTATCATTACTTATACACAGAAAATGTTATGTATAAATATTCTATATCCACATTATAAAAGAAAGTAGAAATGTTTTCAAGGAAGAATGACCACTAGTTAAGATTTTGAATGCTCTTTACATTTATAGTTATGGGACTTTTACATATTTATTGTGTTTCATTAATCCACAAATCTACAGCATCTTCCTTCTTATTACTTAAGTCAACAATGGCTCTTTACTTATAATCTGTATAATAACACTTTATTTAATGCAGTGCCACAATTAATGTAATTGAGAATGTGAGAATACAGGATTATTGATTATTTTTGATGTAATGACTAGTTATGTCCATTTGTATCTAGAGTAATGATGTATGTTGAAAGGAAATTAACGTTTGTTATGTATAAAAAAAAGACTCTTTATAAATATTTAACATGATATTCAAAAATCTTAATAAGAAAAGTCAGGCAAGGTTATTGAATCTAATTAGAGGATGAAAAATTTCAAAATATAAGCTCTATGGTAAGTTGAAGGAATACCAAAACATGCCAGCACACAAAAAAAGTATGTTAGTTTTTAGAGTTTTAACACAGCACACTTCACACATTATTATTACTAACCTCAACTTTTCTGCTACAGCCATCAAGCTATGAATAACAATATAGAAGAGTACATGTATTTCAGTGCTACAAATAAAAGTCAAAAATTCCAAAATATAATTAATAAATGCAGAAAAAATAAGTTCAGAGGTAATTATGAACAAAAGCTTAGAGATGCAGGGAATAAAAACTTCAATGAAAAGTGTAAGTTAAGTGAAGAATTAAGAGAAAAGATTTCATGTTCAAATAAGAATAATCATAATACTTAATACATTAAGCATCTTAGAAGCACAACATGTCACCAGTGCTCACAAAAAGGTTCTTAACAGAAAAAAATATTATAGAACCTGAACATTTATTAGTGTCAGTTTTACTCAAGAACTTAATAATAATCTTCTAAGTTTTTATATTTAACAGCTTTTACAATTATCAGCATGCTCTTCGTGAATATTAAACTACAGTTTCAAATTATTTACAAGCCTTTGTACAAAAATATTCTATTTTATGTTTAGTAAAAGCTTATTGAAATAGTTTTCTTCTAGTTTTGAGATTATATTACATTCAGTCTTATTTTAAAATGAAATTACTGGTTATAAAATGAAATACTCTACAGAAATAACAATGTTGGCATATGCAGCAGATCAGACCACATGAAAATATAAAGTTATCTTTTAATGATTTTTTCTAAATTACTTATGATAATAATTGTGTAGTATAAATATAGTAGTCAGTTTGCTAAAACATAAATTACTATTTGCATAGTTTCAGCTTGTTAATATACATGATACTTTGACTTATGTACTTGAAGTGTGCTAGTTTCAGTATTACTTCAGAAATGAGTGTTGTATAGAAGTCATTATTTTATTAGAGTAGTTATCTTCTCTCACTTGGTATTTTTGAAAAATTAGGAATTGACAAAAAATATATGAGTATAATTACATTGGTGTGTTATACGTGTTTATAAAATGTTTAAATAAATATTAACAGATCTAAGGAATTAAAGATCTAATAAACTTATTATAGCAGAAAATTTGATGCTCATCAATACTTATCATGTAATTAAAATGATAAATTATGTTTCTTCTGAATATATTCTTAATTTTTGTTTTCTGGTATAAAGCACACTAGAGATGCTACAAGCACTCTAAGTTTTAAAGTGAGAGCTCACCTCTGTTCTCCCTGTTAATTTGCCTAATATCTGTGGTGACACCAGCATGATTTCAAACTTGACACGTTTATCAAGCTCTTCACTAATAGAATTAGCTTCCTCAATTCCAGGTAAGACCTCCAGCAGGTCCTTATTAAGTATAGCCGTTTCTAGAAATAAGAAAATTGCATGCATTATAATATTGATACCTACCACAAACTTACAAACTTAAAACAAATTTTTCTGAACAAATAAAAGAATTAATAACATTTATCAAAACACTTAAGAGTTACTTAAATGGTTAGAATACAAAAACAATAAGTTATTTAAAAATATAATAGGAATTGGAATCTGGAATTGGATAAGATTCAGAGTAAAATAAATCATATAATTCAATACAATAATTTTAAAATCATATTACTTTTAACTAGTTTTTTACTATCCTAGGTAAGTTTTCAATCTTCCACCCTTTCAATTATGCAACAAAACGATGGTACTTTAAATCAAAAGAAACTGATCTATTTATACTTATTTATTATCGCCTGAGGAAATGACACCACAACATTTTACATGTGACTAACACATGTACCACTTCAAAACTTTACAATTATGAAATTCAATGAAAGTGCTTGCAATTCATCACATAGTTCTGTTGCCCTCACATACATCATTTGCCACAGTTGCCATTTAATAGCTGAGTTAGAGATCTATGCAGTGTTTCAGCAAGTCTCTTAAGCTCATTTTCAACAAATCAGGAATGAAGTGAAGGAAACTGAACAATGAGCTGCTTTTCTGTAGTTGTTGAAGCCTTTCTTCTATGGATTCAATGGCTGTATTACTAATTTTTTTAAAGAAATTAACCTTGAAGTTTAGATGTGGATCAAGAACAGAATGAAAAGATATCATTTTTTTCATGAGTTAAGCATTACCACAAAACTAGCCAAAAATTTGAAATTTAGCATCTTGAGAGAAACTGCCTCAGAATGAAACTTGGCTCCTACAATAAAGATGAGGATATTGTTGCGTCAGCGAGGTCATGTGACTAGTATCATGCCACCCGTTTTCTAGAAATATCCTGTTCCTTCAAGAATGCCCTAGCATTTACTAGATTGGGGGTAGTCTGGTATATATAAGATGGTCACAACGTGACAGGACAGTGTGTAGGTAATGAGTAATTGAACTGCAGTCAGAGAGTGTGTAATTGAGTATTGTCAAGCACGAGCACGTGAGACGTTCTAGCTTTTGTTATAGAGCGACTGTTGAAATTAAGTGTATCGGTAAAGTAGTATTTGGAAAGAATAAACCAGTTTTATTTAAGAAAGGACTTGTGTCGCTAAAGTTTAGTCGGAACGAATTTACGGAAAATTAAGTAACGACTGGAGGTGTAACAAATTGGTGTCAGAAGTGGGATAGAAAATAAAAAAGAAGAAGAAGAAGATGGAAACGAGAAGCGGCAAATCAAACTACAGCCTAGCAGACTTGATGGCAGCAATACAAGAACAGCAAAAGAAACAAGAAGAACGAGAAGAGAAATTACAACAGTTGTTAGAGGAAAAACGAAAAGAAACAAGAAGAGAAATTACAGCAGTTCTTGGAGGAAAAAGAAAAGAAACAAGAAGAGAGAGGGTTTAGCTGCATGGTCTGGAAGGGGCTTGTCATTGTCTGGGGCTGATTAAGTCGATGGTTAATGTATCCTCCTTGTGTAAAAGACAATAAATCATCCTTTAATGTATCTAATTTGCTTTTGAATTTACTAATGTTTTCCATTTGTACTTCTTCCCACTGTTGTAGTCTCTCTTCTTGTTTATTTTCTTTCTCCTCCAATAGCTGTTGTAATCTCTCTTCTTGTTTATTTTCCTGTTCGAGCTGCCACTGTTGCAAGTTTTCTTGCCACTGCTGTAATCTCTCTTCTTGTTTATTTTGCTGTTCGAGCTGCCACTGTTGCAGGTTTTCTTGCAACTGCTGTAAATTCATATCTGGGATGTGACTTTTAACGGGACTGAATATGTCTGCATTAGGGTTTAGCTGCGGGCTCTGTAAGGGGCTTGCCATTGTCTGGGGCTGATTAAGTCTATGGTCAATGTATCCTCCTTGTGAACTCAAACTGTGCTCTATATGCTTCCCACGGAGCCTTTCCATCGAATTCCTGTGGCTTCCTTCGCACTGGATCACTCCTAGTACTGACATTGGCAGAGATGAATGGATGGACAGAGGAGCAGAAAGCTGTATATCTGGCAACGAGCTTGAAGGGACAACCACTGGAAATACTTGGACAGTTGACAGCAGCCGACAAACACAACTATAGAGCACTGGTAGAGGCTCTGGAACTCAGGTACGGAACCCAAAATCAGTCAGAAGTCTACAGAGCTAGGTTTAGGACGAGAATCCGTGCCAAAGGGGAGAGCCTGCAAGAGCTGACACAAGACTTGGAGAGCATGGCACAAAAGGCCTACCCAACTGCACCACACGATCT